AGGAGGCTCTCATGGCCGAAGTTGTTGAGGATCCAGCGTCCTTCAAGAAATTCACTTTAATTGGACCTGATGTGTCTCGGGGTTCGGACGCGATTAGGCTGAATCCTCTCCGCCAAAATCATTGAACGCTGCAATTCGTTTTCTAGGTGTTCTTTTCTTTTGAGGCATTTTGAAAATGAGAAGACGGATGTATTAGGTCCGTATAGATCCGTGGCAATTCGTTCTTCTCCGTATCAATACGTTCTTCTCCGTATCAAACCGTACTTATTCGTACTAACCCGTGCTTATACCGTAGCAGACCGTAGTGTATCCGTAGTGCGTCCGTCCTGATTCGTGTCGCTCCGTATCAAACCGTGTCGGTCCGTAACAATCCGTGTCTCTCCGGGGGCTTTTGGTGGTTAATCCGTCGGACTCTGTACTCATACCGTTGTGTGTCCGTACTGTAACCGTAGCGGACTACGGATTTTCACATTTCCGTAACTTAATCCGTGAACGATTAGACCGTAGCTCTTCCGTGGCATTATCCATGAATATGTGACCGGGGCATAAGTAACGCAACAGGGAATTTTTTGGCGCAAATGGCACACATTTGACACAGGTTTGATTTTCTTAAAATATTGTGGTTGGAGGCATGCAGCTTTATATTCTGTTAATTCCAATCAAATGATATAAAACTTTTTTATGTAAATCCTGGAATTAAAATTGTCTGATTAACATAGTTACTTTATGCCCGTTTTGGAAAATGTAAAGGGAATGTTTCCATATACATGGTTTCATGATCCAGAATTAAGACCACCTCGCTTATCCACTTTTAAGACCACAAGATTCAGTCCCAATTCTTTGTTTTGTTCTTTATTTGACCCCAGTATTTGAGACCACTGATTTAAAATTAACAACTACCTTGATCTTTAATTTGCTGTTATTATCAGCTTGAGTGCTCTAAGGCATGACACCTTATTTGACAAGGTGTCAACACCTTATATCATTGGGATATTGTATGAAATATGGTGAGAAAGTACATTTTAGAGTGGTTTAATCTTGCTTTAAGCACATTGATTATGCGAAGAACTATTTTTTTTATTTGAGGGTTGAATTATGTACATCATATAATAATTATTATATTGCAATTGATATTGAAATCAGACAAAATACAATTTGATATATTTGATATTTCTTTCTTTCCATCAGATGATAATTTATAACATAGTTTTATGTTGCATTTGCAGGTATATAATTAACAATCCCCCTCCCGGACGATTCCCCTTCCATATTATTTTCACAACTCGGACATTTCCCCTCCCGTTATTTTAATAGGGCGGACTTTTCCCCTCCCGTTAATTTAGCAGAGCGGACAATTCCCCTCCCATTTTTTAGCAGAGCGGACAATTCCCCTCCCGTTTTTTCACATTCCGTATACAAAAAACTATAACCATTCTTATTAAAGATGACAGTTTTTACTCTTAACAATAAACTGTTAAAGATCGGAACTTTTAACAATCATTATTTCACAAAAGTGACATTATACCGCCTTTAATCATTGCCGCCGCTGCTTAAGATAAACAAACTGTCAATAAAAAATCTTTAAGCATTGCCGCCCTTAGTTAAATGTGTCCTTGATTGCAAAACCAATTAAAAATGAAGGAGAGTGTTCAATCATATATAAAATCAAAATGATCACTGATATTTTGTGTTAGGACTTCATGTACTGATTCAATATGGTGAATATGATTTTCTAAGATGACAGTTCAATTTACTATAACATGTGCATAATATATTCTTTGCAAGAATCTACAGCTTAATTGTTTGTTTTTTTTTGTTCTTATCAATTGTTCTTTTATTGTTTTGCCGCTGCAAAAATGTATATACCTTTCAAATAAACAATATTATATAATATATATATTCAATAGCCACGGGAGGGAAATTGTCCGCTCTGACAACAGCGGGAGGGGAATTGTCCGGGTTGTTAAAAGAACGGAAGGGGAATTGTCCGGGTTGATAAAAGAACGGGAGGGGAATTGTCCGCCGTAAAAAAATAACGGGAGGGGAAATGTCCGGGTTGTGAAAAAACATTCAAATTTACTGGGAGGGGAATCGTCCGGGAGGGGAATTGTCCGGATACCTTCTTTTAACAACCCGGACAATTCCCCTCCCGCTGTTGTCAGAGCGGACAATTTCCCTCCCGTGGCTATTGAATATATATATTATATAATATTGTTTATTTGAAAGGTATATACATTTTTGCAGCGGCAAAACAATAAAAGAACAATTGATAAGAACAAAAAAACAATTAAGCTGTAGATTCTTGCAAAGAATATATTATGCACATGTTATAGTAAATTGAACTGTCATCTTAGAAAATCATATTCACCATATTGAATCAGTACATGAAGTCCTAACACAAAATATCAGTGATCATTTTGATTTTATATATGATTGAACACATTTGTAGGAATATTCTCCTTCATTTTTAATTGGTTTTTGCAATCAAGGACACATTTAACTAAAGGCGGCAATGCTTAAAGATTTTTTTATTGACAGTTTGTTTATCTTAAGCAGCGGCGGCAATGATTAAAGGCGGTATAATGTCACTTTTGTGAAATAATGATTGTTAAAAGTTCCGATCTTTAACAGTTTATTGTTAAGAGTAAAAACTGTCATCTTTAATAAGAATGGTTATAGTTTTTTGTATACGGAATGTGAAAAAACGGGAGGGGAATTGTCCGCTCTGCTAAAAAATGGGAGGGGAATTGTCCGCTCTGCTAAATTAACGGGAGGGGAAAAGTCCGCCCTATTAAAATAACGGGAGGGGAAATGTCCGAGTTGTGAAAATAATATGGAAGGGGAATCGTCCGGGAGGGGGATTGTCCGGGATTCTTAAAAGAACGGAAGGGGAATTGTCCGGGTTGATAAAAGAACGGGAGGGGAATTGTCCGCCGTAAAAAAATAACGGGAGGGGAAATGTCCGGGTTGTGAAAAAACATTAAAATTTACTGGGAGGGGAATCGTCCGGGAGGGGAATTGTCCGGATACCATATAATTATATTGTTTGTTCATACAAAGTGACTAAAATAGACCATGGTCAAAAAGTGTGTAAGCATCGATAAGAATATTCACAATTAAGACCACCCCGCAATTAAGACCACTTTGGCCCAGTCCCAATGGTGGTCTTAATTGAGGGTTTCTACTGTACTTACCAAAACATTTAACCGAAAATTTGCTTATTGAATTTTACAAGAAAATTTGATACTTCTTTTAATATACATATCATTTATTTTAATTTAGTTCCCTTTGTAGAAAAAGTATCCCTTATGCACCAAGAAAACGTCTATTTCTCCGGCAAATAATCTTTCAAAACATAAAAAAATGAAGTGTAAAACAAACTTTCATTATGATACTATATATTCAATTTATATAATAAATTCTATTTTGTTAAATAATTGTAATTTATAACCATTCATTGTGTTTTTTCCAAATATTTTCAAATTAAACATATCTCTTACAGCAGCAAAAAGACCTCTCGCATGCTTCTTTTTAAAGAAGCAAACTTGTTTACAATAACAGACGAAATGGAAGACAAGGTTACCGGTTTATGTACGTATTTCATTTCTGCATTGAAATACATACGTATATAGCCGGGTTTTATCCAAGGCATTCGGATATCCGTTAGTTACCAGACAACCATCTCAACAATGAGGCAGCCAAGCCCATTCCGGCCGATTCACCTATTGACCTTACAGGACATGTGTCAGTAACTAGGCTAACTTACATAATAAATATTATTCTACGTTTTGTCGATATACAAAACTTCCGCGTGCGTGTCAGCGCAAAGTGAAGGCCACATATTTTGTAATATATAAACTTCAAGTAAGAATTATTGCATGCTATGTTCAAGTCAATGCTCTTTATTTTGCTATACATGTAAACAAATTTTGAATAGTTTCAAATAATGTTAAGGGGAAAATGTTAGGCGAAAAAATATGAAAACCCTTAAATATTAAGCTTACCATTGCAATTTTTTTGACCTAAAATGGTATGTTCACTATTAAAATGTGAATAAATACACGACTGTATATTTAATGTTTTTTGTCCTTTGTCTGGCCATGGATGTTATAGCGTGCCGTGCTGTGCCACAATTAAATATTGAATAAAATATAAGCTGCATTTTGTTATTTTATGCAATGCCATGCATGCTACTATATAATGTATTGCCGTGCCATGTCATGCCGTGTCGATCCGCGCCGTGCCAAGATATATTTGAATTTATTCCAACCCTGGTATTGACTTATTCATTCGTTTTGAGTAAAAGACTTCATCTCTTAGGCTATATCATTCCCTGCGGTCTGGCGACCGCAGGGTATTGGTACGCGATTAACTTTTGGGGCATGGAGGAGCACGTGAGCTGTTTTCGGTACATGGAGGAGCATGTGATCTATAAACGGTACACGATTGGTTAATTGACCTTTTCGAAAACCTAGCTAAATACCGTTTGCCGGTTACGGATTTACCTGTAGGGAATTAGTCCGAATTACTCCTATCCTAATTAAGAACAAAAACTATTACGTGATATTTCTAAATTAAATTTTCTATAATTATTTTACCGTTTAAGGTGGAAAACTTGAATGATGTGTTTGAAAATTATCAATGTTTCTTTGATATCTATCTCAAGTTTTACAACAATAAATTGTTTATACTGAAAATCTACAAAATTAAAATATTCGTAGTGGCATCTGCCATAATAAATAGAGATATTTTCTTTATTTATTTTTTGCTCGGAATGATTCATATAATGGTAGTCCTATTTAATCATTTTCTTAAAAAGAAATAATTGTTTTATGTTCGACCTTTTCCCATCTTCAATGGTCACCAGTTTCCAAAGACCTTCTTCTGTATTGATCGTTTATTCAATTGTCAACAAAATTCCTGATACAAACGTTGATCCCCCCCCCCCCCCCCCAAAAAAAAAATGTTGAAAATAGTTAAATGAAATATCTTTATATCATTAAAATGTTCACCGCAGGAAACCATTTCATTTGTTAATACATGTATCAAATTCGGCAATAACAATATGGCCTCAGATCTGGCCTAAACTTTTCGATACATTTTGGTGCATCATTGTATTTATTTATTCTGCTAATCGACTCTCCGTGCAATTTAATATCCCAAGTCTTCATGTCCATAATAAAAGAGGCTTCAAATATCGCTGAACTTGGCTCAGTTTCGAATGTAATCTGGTAGTGCTCTAACTCAGCGTTTAACATGTCACTAAAATCAGCATTGCCATCTAAACTATTCTTAAACTTTAAAACGTTTGAGTCTATTTTGAATGAAATTGAATTTAAAATGTTTTTCAGTGATAGTTTGTGACAGAGAAGGAAAAAGTTTCTCAGCTGGCCATTTATGTAATGTAACGCATGCTGAACGCATCGTATTGCTCTTGGGTCGGAAACGGAAACAGTCTCTGACTTCAGACATGCGCACCAGTGCGGTTCAATACCAGCGTCTGCGCATGTCCGCTCTCGTGGAATTTGAGAAAACAGCGAGTAAATTGTTCTATTTATATTTGTATGGTTACCTGTTTCCCCTATGATCTCAAGAAGGGTTTCATGAATATCTGAGGGAACAGTAAGTCGCTTTGTATTTTCCAGAAATGTTCGATATCTTTTGGGGAATTTTCTTCGGAATTTTGGAGGAATAAATACACCGAAGTAGGGCTGTCTTTCTTCTAGTTTGCCTTGTTCTGTCATTCGAAAATACCCGAAACGACGACCATGATCACTCATTAATATAAGAAATGTATTTTTCAGAATGTTTTTATGGTAAAGATATTTTAAAAATTCAACATTATAATTATCTATTTTTGGCATTTGCAAGTAACCATCGTGGCTATATCTTGCCATGAAACCCAACGTAAAAAATGGTTTTCCTTTGTTTGTTTCTAATCCTTCTTTAATCCAATCTAAATACACTTTGTAACTTGGCCTTTCACCTATGCAGTAGTCATGTTTCATCGTATTTCCAACAGACAGGAAGAATGGCCTCATATAGTGAGTTACAGGTTGTTTAGAAAATCCTAGTACCCTGTAGAAGAAAGCACCAGCCATCGGATAATCTTCGGCCCATTGTGTAACATATGAATTGTTTTCATATTTTTTCCACACGAAATCTAGAACCTCGTCTACGTGTCTTGCTCCTGGAAAACCCCGTCGAATTTCCGGTATTTCAGTCATGCGCTTTCCAGTAAACATTGGCATTAGATTTCGCGTTGTACCATCTCCAACAATATTGTATCCCTCTAGTAAGGAACCATGTAATGTTTTTGTAAAATACTCGTGAGTTTTCGGCAAAAGTCGTTGAAACATTTGTCGAGAGAAAGAGTCTAGACCGAGGATCATAACGTTGAATTTATTTTCATTTGATATTTCACTTTGATTTGCAGTGGGTTGTTTATTTATTGAAATACATGCATGATAATTGTCGTACTTACTTCCGTTGGCGGATTTGCACAAAACTTTGAATGCGTCTGTACGAAGATCACTGTTGTTAAGCATTGGATATATAGGTTTAAGCCGTTTATAATTGTCGTTAAAATTACTAATTGGTATATATGTACAGTTTATCTCTCCATATCGTTTAACTGCCACTGAAGAAATGTAGAACTTTCCATTTCCGGTATACACCCATTCGTCGTCTGCGTTTCCACATGTTACGTTTTTGTTACTGACAGATCTTACGTCAAAATCGTTCCATATGGACAAATCTGGGTGAACACACGCTTGTTTCTTCAATTCTTTAAATTTATTGATACTATATTTATCGAAATATTGCAAAATTTGGTCATCTCTATTTAATCCGGTGATGAATACGATTACACAGAAAGACGATAGACACATACCGACAAAAATAGCACATCTTCGCTTCATATTTTTCTGAAATGCACAAAGTCGCAGCAACGGAATTCCAATGGTTTTTGTTCCCTGAAATTAAGAAAGATAATTTAGGGAAAGAGCATGTATTACAACGTTAGTCATTTTCCCTTGTTGTAATTTTATCATCATTAAAGTATACGATTATACTATTGTTTTTTTTCAAACCTTTTCATGTGTCCTGTCATAGTTTCTTGACAGTTACTCACTAGCTGTTTAGCTGAACAATCACTTGCTTCTTTTGTTTTTGGCATTAAGGTACAATTAAACATAAATGTAGTGTTTTTAGTATTTTGTATGGAAGTCAAAATACCACTTTGCTAACATATTGCGAATTTCATGACAACTTATTCACATTAAGCATCCCTTTCTTCGTGTGATATGCAATTTTAACATACTCTAAAGTAGATAAATAGTATTAAACGCTTGTATGCTTTTTCGAAGGACGAACGAAATTTTTTTCATCATTTTTTAGTCACGTTGTGCTTTAACGGTTTGTCTGTTACAATTTTCTTATTCGCCTGAATTACCTGCCCCTAACTGCTAAAACAGCAATCTCCTCAAACTCCCCGCAGCGATTACTTCCCCTGATCAGTACAGTAACCATTGCCACCGCAAGTAAATTCGGCTTCAGAGAGCCGAATATATTTTTCTTTCACTTCTAATTTTAAAATAGAATACTTTATATCATTTTAGTTTTCTTTCATTAAATTGTTATGATTAATGAACAAGAATGTAAAAAAAATATACTTCTAAAAATTATTTTGTTAAAATAACGAAAGAAATTTTCACTGTGACACCGTATGTGTAGTAAACAACGACTGACTGAACGATTGTGCAAAAGATTTTGATCCGGCACTTGCTTTAAAGTGTAAACAAATTGAGTGTTATGGACATATTTTATCTGATAAGGATGTAATTATAAATCTGCCAGTTGGATATGGAATCCTTGGCGTTCTGAAACTGGCCGCCATGTTTTTGTCACATGACACAACTATCGTCACATTTTTTTTCAGTGGAGTAGCAAAGCGTGACGTAACCTTTGTGAGAAGTACGCAGTGATCTCCCCTTGTCAGTACAGACCGCCAAGGGAGGTTATCACTGTGCTTTACATGATAGTTTTTAATTATCTCCCCTTAATTATGCCGGCTCGCGGTATTACGTTAAGATTTTACTGAGAAACAACCTTATACTCCGAATCCATCCAAAAATTTAATCGAAGCTTTGCTTCCAGCTTTCTACAAAATTTATCTGTCAGGGATGGAATCCAAAATTATTTAGCCAATCAAATTTAATCTAACCACGGATTTATTGGCGTCCGCGCCGAAGCGCGGCGCCTTTTATGTAATGAAATCAGATTTTGTGAAAGGGCGACAGCAACTTCTCGAGCCTTTTAAAGTTGTTCATAATAAAAGCCGATCATTCCGATCGGTATGAGGGTGCTTGATTATTAATTAGTCGCGATATGTACAATGAATAGCGAACTGGAGAATTTCGCAATACAAACATTTTCAAATTAAATAACCTTTTCCGTCAATAAATCGCGCTCTTCAATGTATTTTTATTTATCATTTTGTAGTACACAGTGGATTATTATGGTATGTTATTCCGAAAGCTGTAAATAGAATGATGAGTTAATGACCTAAATATTCCGAAAATCTATCTATAGAGGGATGTACTCCTGTCGGTAATTCCCGGTCTCTACCGGTCTATTTTGACCGGGGGCGAATAGTACCACACGTTTATTGTCCGGTCTCTCCCGGTCTTGGAGTAGATGTTTAATATCGTTACAGAACAGAAAAAATATTTTACAGATAAATAAGCTTTTTTTTTCAAAATGAATGTTTGTCACTTAGTTTGGTTACAATAATTAATAAACACAGATCAACTCTCAAAATTATTGCTTATTATTATACATAAACATACAATTCGAAAAAAAAAACCAACAACACAAATCGCATGTTCTATTTTATCTATATGAGATAAAAGCAATAAATATGTACAATAATTGAGAAAAAATGTACATTTTTATGGCATTAATATGACACTATCAACTTTGAAACATTTTATTTAATTTGTTATTCGTGTTTAGTAAAGATGCCGAGGAATTATTCAAAGTTACAAATCAGATTTTATGAATTATTCAATTGATTGATAATTTAAGAAATGATAAAGAAAAATACAAATGTACATTTATATGGTTTAAGAATAAAAAATATTATATATTGAAAGATTAACCATAATTTACTGATTTTTCCAGTTAAGTTTTGACTTATAATCGTCGGTCATTATGACAATTGAATTCTTAAAAGAGTAGTAAACGTAAAAACTCAGTATTAAAATAGTGCATAAAACACAAAAAAGAAAAGTAAACAATATTCATAAAATCTGTGGTTTTTTTTTATTAAAAAAGATATTACAATTAGTGTATAATAAACATTTATGCTCAACATGATCAACATGGTAATATAACAAGTGTCATATTGTGAACAGATACCTTAAGAGGGGGTCTTCGCTAATAGCGGTAACATAATAAGGGACAATTACACAAGTGTGGTGTTGATCATTCGTTACTCATATGGATTATAAATGATTGTATACATGTATATCCGTTGCTATTAATAATCACGATCATAAAGAAATAACAAGTAATATTCTAATTTCTAGAATGCCAATCAAATTTATAAATAATGAACAATGTCTTTCGTTCGTTCATTCATAAGTGATATACAATTCTGGTAAAAACCAATGAACCATTTAACAGTTTATCATCATATATCTACTAGTTCATCTGCACCTGCTGCATTTCTTGCTTGGACGCCCTTTGATGCTTTGCATCAATACTTTTCTTGTATTATTTGTAATATAAATCCGTGATCTAACATAGCGTCAAAAACCTTCAATTTTCACGCCATTTTTGAAAAGCAGCAAGTTTTGCTTTGAGCGCAAAGATATAATGATGATTAAAATGTTTGTTTCAATAAATTATATTTACACTGACTTTTGATTTAGCGATTTCACCTGTTTTCTCTGTAATAAGTTTTCGTTTGGTTAATAAACATAAGTGTACATCTGGTTCAGTGCATTTTTTTTCTTTTTCTTTTTTTTCCGGTCATTTTATCCTTTCCGGTATTTAGGGTGGGGGAAAAATCACAGGATCCGGGATCCGGGATAGTATTAGATATATAGGGAAAAGGAATACACTATATTTGTGTTGATGAAAGGCGATTAAACGATAACTTTTTATTTTTTATTGTATGTAATGAATGGTAAATTAATTTAACTTAAGATTTAAATATATTTAGAGCTATTTATTAACAAACTTAAAATGCAGAAATCGCAATAGTTGTAATTACATGCCTAATTGAAAAAAATCAAAGTTTTTGTTAATATAATATTTGGCTTATTTTTATGTTCATGTATTTAAATATTATTTTTAGAAAGGATCATAAGATATACTTAACATACTAGTAATTGATAACAAAAAAGATTTTTTCCATCAAAATTGATTTCAAAGTGATGCAACATCTTAATGGATTGAGATAGAGTCAAATGCTATTCAGCGTTGGTTACACGTTACCTTATGATCGATCTGGGGTCATTTTTAGCCTGTCACAAGTCCAAAATTTAGCGATGAGGGGGACTGCCGCCCCCTTCAAACCCCTCAAACAGAAGGGGGCACATCCCGCTTCTGGCAACCCCCTGATATATCTTTTGGTTGGGGGCCGCGCCGAAAAAGTGGTCACTTTTTTGAACAACATTTCTCAACCAAAAACATGTGTTGGGGACCTAAAGGCATTTTTTTCACCATTTGAGACAACAAAAAAGGGGGGTGAAAAAGGCTGTATATCGCGTAATGGGTTAATACGGCTTTTCTGAATGTGATATGTTAGATCAAAGATATTCTGTTTAAAATATTGTACACGTATCGTAATGATTTCATAGGGAAAATGATAATCTGTCCTATTTAAACGTTTGTTTTAATATTTTTAAAGGTACAATATACTCATATTTACTCTTTAAATGATATCTATGAAACCAATGACTGCACATTAACCACACTACAGGAGTCCTCTTTCATGTTTGTTCATATTGTTCTACACATAGGTCAAGGACACGTCTTATATAGAAACACATACGCACACCTTTATACCTTATTAATGCCTAAACCATAAATATTTGGCATGTGGTATTGCCTAGTTGACCACTTTAAAATTTAGTATCTACATCATATCCATTTGTTTAAAATGTTTCACATACCAAGATGAAGTGGACATAATTTTTATGAAAATAAGTTTAATTCTTATTGATATAAACTTCAATGCCTCCAGCTTTAATATTGAATATGTACCAATGCCTTGAGAACTTGTACAAATCAAATGTTAATCATGCCTCATGAATCTAAATTCGCCCAAACCCAAGAGAGTTCTTCAGTAATATATTCCTGTATAGGACTTGTGTCTGTAACCCATTCCAATTCTAAATAACATTATTACAACTTAACTTCGTATATAGAGACAATTCTTTATGAATTCCACCTATCTAACATTTTTTGGTCAAGGTCAACAGGCCATATAGTAAATGTGCATAGACATAGGGACTTCATTCTATCTGTTTACGTGCATCTTCATATATATTATCATATTCCTCTTTGTTAAACTGAGAGAACTGGCTTCCATAAATTTATATGTCACTTTTATTTTGATGTTCGCTGAAGTCTCTTCAGCTTACAGAACTGTCATTTTTACATTTAAACACATCCCTGGAAAAAAATTACGAAGCGAGTCGCTACTAGCTTTATTAAAAGCTAACCTTGTTTTCGTATGTTTTAAGTTGCACTTCCTGTAAAATTTACAGGGAAGAACTGACTATATGTATAAATTTCATTGGTCATTTTAAAATAACAATCTGAAATTGATCATAAAATAACATAAAGGATTTTTTCTGACATGGTATACGCATCTAATTTTTAATTAATCTGAAGGAGTTCTGGAAACGATCTATCACATTCGTGAGTTTTAAATTTCAGACAC